TCCTGCTGACACCACCTTAAGGACGTAGATAAATAAAAAAGATGAGAGCAGTTTGAAGGAAATAATATTTTACCCTAAACCCTAGATCATATACAATAATTCATTATATATATAGAAAGATAAGATGTTTACTCTTGAGACGAGTGGAACATCACAACCCATAATCAAATAAGAATAAATAGTACATGAAATCATAGTGTGAAAAAAATTCTATAGTCATTATTCAATCATATGTTATTTTTACGTATATAATAAATTTGTTAATTTTTATAATAACTATCTATCTTACAAATATAAACAGTAGTAAGATAGGTTTGTTGATTTATAATAAAATTATACTGTAGATAAATTTTAATTAATTAACAATAAAGAAAATTTAGCATGAACATTGTATGGATTTAAACTCAAAATAATTTAGAAAAATTATATCTTAGTAATAATATATGTATGCTGTATTCATAATTATTTTTTAAATATATAATTGTTGTCTTATTTCTCCATATAAGTGAAGGGTTACTCTAAAGAGTTTAAAGAAAGTAAGATATATTTTTACTAAGTCAAAGAAAAATTTCGTGTTGATTCTCTACAAGCCATGATAAAAGTTTTATTAAAATAGAGTAACAACTTTAAATTTAACCATTGTCAAACTCAAGATTCAAAGGTTGTCATGTGTTTTTAAATATATGTACCATTGATTTTATTCTTTTATTTATTTATTTATTTGCTGATGAGTGCAGGGAATGGTTAGTTTAATTTCAAGTGATGGAATTCTGCAGCTAAATATATTCATCTCGTTTTTGGCGGTGTTTCACATCTTGTTCTGCACATTGACAATGTGCCTTGGTAAGGCAAAGGTATGTACACCGTTTTCAATCCTTTAGAAATTAGATGGAGGAATCGGTCCATATACATATATAGCAGTTTTCATAACACGTAACCTAAGAACCATTCACTGTCTTTTCTATAGTAGAAGTTTGAATTTGAGGTATATCACTTTCAACATTTATATGCAAAGAATACTAAGAACTCACCACCTGTACACCATTACACCTTCCTAATAAGGATACGCTTAAACTAAAAGCTTGATTTTTTCCATCAGAATCCAATCATTTAGTTATTATATGATCCCATATTTTGGTGATTAGAAAAATGGTTTGTGTACACTATGAGCAATAGTTATCACTTATCATTCCACTTTTTACACCCAGCTGCCAGCAACAAACTTTTGGTTATTATAATTTTGTATCATAAATGGTTAAAAGTAAATCAATTTTGTTTATATATTTATTAATATCATAACCTAATGATATTACTAATCGCAAATTGAAAATTATATAAACAAATTCTTGCTCTTAATCATACATGTAATTAATCATTTGTAACAGGTTGTAAGCTCATAAATTCTTAATTACTATTAGACTTAATCGCTATTAAATATTCAATAATCTTATAATACTATTATATATATATATATTAATTATTGTGATCTTTTTACAATTATTGGTTCTAACCGTCTTTTGTTTATCATATTTCTTTAGTCTGTCTATTCTAACCGACCTTGGAATATGTGCCACAATATAAATTGATGAGATTGCACATAAATTAAAAAGTCAAAATTGAATTTTTCTTTTTCTGTTTTTTTTTTTTTAATTTATCGTGGAGCCAGAAAATCAAATATAAGCTATATGTGTATTTATTCCCATCTTCTTGCTTCACCAAAAATTTCGACTAAATCCAGGCCAAGTGGAGATTTGATGACCAGGTGTGTTTGAATTAAAATATTTACAAAAAAAAACTATAAAGAGTTTTTGAAAAAAAAAATCCTATAATCAATCGCCACCAAACATTTGATATCTTCATTCCTGTGTTATATATGATATAATAGTCGTCTGGTTTTTAAAAAAAAATGTTGTTTTTTCATTTTTCCATTTTAAATTACAAAAAACACACATAGTTTTTACTTTGTTCTTAAGTTTTAAAAGTATGTATAAAAAACAATGAAAAGAGAAAAAGAAAAAATTTTAAAAATATTTTTACTTTTTCCTATACAAATTTTTGAAAGAAAAATAAGCGAAAATGAGATTATAATTTTGCAAATAAAAGTGAAAATAGAAAATAAAAACAGTTTTTTTTTTCTCAAACCAAACCACTGATATATAAGGTTAAACACGAATTTTCTTTTTCAATGATAGATGCGTAAGTCTTTGGATACATGTCTATATTTCAATCTTCACTTGCTATATTCAAAAGTTAATTACTAAGTAGATAATAGAATTTGATCCACATATTTATAATATGTTATTAACTTTCTGCTTAATAATCATAGATATGTCATCTCTTATCAATCATTTTACTCATAAAAAATAATATATTCAAAAGCTTTAAAGTATTTGTTTGAGATGTGTGTCATTATCTATTTGGGTGAAAGAGAACAATGTAATTAAACACGAATTGAAAGAATAATGTAATGTAATAATAACTACTCTTATCGAATTTATTTTAAGTATTGCATAATTAATCGGTGCAAACTGTTATCCTTTTTCCCTAATGTTCCATCAGCAATATTGTATCATCATATGATTGTAATAAATTGTAACCACTGGTGTAATTAATTATTTTGTGACAGATGAGAAGATGGAAAAGATGGGAGGACGAGACTCGAACACTTGAATATCAGATAGCTAATGGTAACCTAATTTCTTGATTTATTTGTAATTGTTTTGAGACTGTATTCAGGTTTTGTAATGAAAATCAACCTTCACATTCACGGTTATTACACATACAAAATATATATATATATATATAAAATATAGTTATACATAATTTTAATATTAATTTTGAATGAAATCTTTAACAATATATTTTATGTAGTTCTATAATTTATATATCCACACTTTTTAATAATATACTAACATATATTATTATTATTGATATAAATAATTTTTAATAATAAATATAATGTTACAATAAGATGCATGTTATTAAATGATAATTTTCTTACGGTGTATTTACTTTTATTCCTCCATAAACTTTCCCTGTATAGATCCAAGAAGATTCCAGTATACAGGTCAAACATTGATTGGCAAGCGTCATTTGAAATTCTGGAGCTACCATTCTCCTTTGCTTTGGATGGTAAGTGAATGTGAAAGAAAATTTTGAACTATATATAAAAGGCAATTTACTAACCACTAATAGTATAATTTTGATACACTGCCATGCTAAAGATTTTTACACTACAACTATTTAGAAATCATCCAAAATATGAGTTGCATAAGTTTTAAAGTAATCATTTTAAAAATTAATAATTTATGATTTAATTAATGTCAGGGTAAAAAACCTTTATACAATGTTTCCAATTAAATGCAAAACAAATCCATGATTTTATCTTTATAAACATCAAACACCTCGAGGCAAAAGTAGCTGACTTATAGTGTTGTTCATGATGATTCATTTGAACCAAAACCAAAAAGCATTATGATTCACTATTCAAAGTATTGAGTTTGTTTGCAATTGTTTATTAGGAAGTCAGTTTAAACTCGAGTTGAAAAAACATTCTTACTTCCTTTGTTTCTCACTTTCTATCTATTGTCTTTCTTTTCATCTGATTTTAGGATGTTAGAAGTTAGAACTTAGTAACAGTAATTCTGTTGTCAAAAATTGCTATAAAAAAAACATCCAATTATTTACCTATACTAATTAAAGTCAAATGTGTTCTATATATAGGTTTGCTTTTTTCGGCAGTTCTATGGTTCAGTCTCAAAAGATGATTACTTTACTCTACGAAATGGGTTTATTGCAGTAAGTCAATAATCCATACCAAATCTCTTTCTAGGAATTCATGGTACTCTTTGAGCTCATTTGAATAAGTTTTTTCAAAAATACTTTTAAGAGAAAAAAATAAACAAGTTAAAACTAATTTATGAATAGGTTAAAATTAAGGTTTTAAAAAAATTAATAGAATTTTTTTTATAAATTAACTAAAAGTATAAACTAATTTATATAGAAAATTATTTCAATTTTCTTTCATATTATTCTCTCTTTGAAAGTGTTATGGAAGAAGTTCTCCCAAATAGGACTTTTATGGACCAAGTCTCATTATAATAAAGTAAGTTGTCAAACAGTTATTCAGCGGAAAACCAAACAAAATTTTTCTTTCCTGAAATTGCAGGCTAATATTTCTTTAGGCAGCAATTTCAACTTCAAGAAATTTCTTTCTCGAACTTATGATGAAGATTTTGAGAAGGTTATGGGAATCAGGTATTCCCTACGATCTAATCAAAAACATGATTCCTAATCACGTGACAACCAGTTTCAGCTACCTCAATATTTATTAAGCACATTCTTATAGTTACAAAGGTTAAATTTCAAGGCCATAAAAATCATGAAACCAACTTTTGATGCTCTTGCAGGATTTGGATCTGGATTTTCTCCATACTTTTCATATTTTTCAGCGCACATGGTATGCACAAGTTGTATTAAGTTTTCACCTGTTTTGTCCCTATATCCTAATGAATAAAAACATTTTTTTGAAACAAAATCACTGGTGTTTGTTTTCATTTTGTTTGCAGAGTTCTACAATTACTACTGGCTTCCCTTTATTCCACTTGTGGTACAGTTGATAATATTTCACATAATTTTGCAGATTTATTTCCTTCTTTTGTGACTTTGTTTCATGTTTGCTTTCATATTCTGTATTGAAGGTTGCTTTACTTGCTGGGGCAAAACTTCAAGTCATAATAACAAAGATGTGTGTAGATAGTTGCAAGGAAAACCCAGTGATCAAAGGAAGTCTACTTGTAACACCTAGTGATGCACATTTCTGGTTTCATAGACCTGAATGGCTTCTCCATTTACTCAAATTCATCCTTATCCAGGTAGATATTGTCACAAACATGCCATAATTAAAAATATTATTACCATTATTATCTTCCATCTTCCAATAGCTTCAAGCCTTCAAGTAACTATCTTATTGATAAGTAAAATGTAATGCACAACTCTTATAAATAAAAGAATAATGATACACGTACAGCAATTCATACAATCTATAAAGTTTTTTTTTTTTTTTTTATATCTTTTCACCCTATAATTTAATTCATTTCAAATTTCTCACTCTCTCTTAATTGTAGGAATTTTTATGCATAAATCCTAATAACGATACCTCTTATGATTTATGGCAGAACTCCTTTCAACTTGCATTCTTCACCTGGACTTGGGTAAGTAATTATGGTTACTCTAGAGATGTTTTTTTATGCTGACTCTACTCACAAACAACAGTATGAATTTGGTCCAAGGTCTTGCTTCAATCGAGAAAAAGAGGACATTGCCATAAGGATTGCCATGGGTGTAGCTGTGCAGCTCCTTTGTGGTTATGTGACACTGCCCCTTTATGCACTTGTTACTCAGGTAAATAATTAAGTATAATATTATATATATATATATATATATATATATAAAGTCCTTTAGATAATCATGGCATTCATTTGATAGCTTCAGTTTTGCCTTTTTTTTTTGTCGAAGGTAAGGACTTTAGCAAATTTACTGAAAGGCCTAAAAAAGCCAATTTGCCCTTAATTTGACAATGATTATGTCAAATTGACTTGTCATTGATGCTAATTATTAAAAAAAAGTTTAATTTTTATTCACTTTCAGAATAACCATTTTTATATTGTTACAAGTCACTTTAAACATGACTTTCAACATGATCATTACAAAAGTCGACAATTTTTCAATTAGATTACAATTCATGATTGAATGACAATGTATAAGACCTTAACATTGTTAATGTATTTCAATTAAATTCTTATTAAAAACAGATAGTTTATTGAAATCAATGACTACAACACTTGCTCATATTTTCATCATGTCACAGATGGGTTCTAGCATGAGGAGAGAAGTTTTCACTGAGAGTGTCTCCAAGGGCCTCAAAAATTGGCACAAAAAGGCTAAACAATCTCTGTGTAAAAACAACTCAACTTCAAGCAAACACTCAAATTCTTTGCATTCCACAGTAGGTGAGAGTTCAATAAGAGGAGCAGTGGATAGTGTGCATAACCCAGATAATGTAGCAGTCACTAGCTATTCTTCTCCCCTCACCTCAGAGGTGGAAAAGAGAATTGCACCAACCCATGAGCAAGAGATGTCAAGTTCAGAAATCCCAACTATTGAGGAAGAGAATAACCCCAAGATCATCACCAGAGGAACCTATGACGGTGAGATCTCATTTGGGAGCAGCTGGAAGAATGTGGGAAGTAGCAGGGGAATTGGAGAATTTGGTTCAATAACTGAAGAAGATGATGCTGAAAAATTGTCTGAGTTGAATCCATAACCACATTGTAATATTTTACAAATTTTGTTATCTAATTTGTAAAATTGTACATTTTATTACTCGTTTAATCAGTTGTTTAATATAATTAGTTGACCGTTAATATATCAAGTTGATTGTTAATATTATGACGTAATTTGTTAGGTTAACAATCTATATGTAATATCAAAAATCAACTAACAACATCAAACAGTAACTAATAAGTGATCAAATATGTAAAATTTTAAGATTGTGTAGCAAAATGTGCAATTTAAAAATGGAAAGGAGAAATTTGTGAAATAATAAAATATTAGTATCAAAAGTGATATTAAGCTCAATATTTATCTCAATAAAATTGGCATATAAGCAATTTCTAAAAGCTCTAGTATCTTGTTTATACCATATTAAATTCTCAACTGCTATCTAATCACCTATCCTCTTCACCTCAACCCTTTCTTTCTTCTGTCCCTGAATTCCAAGATACTAGTAACATCAGCAAGAAAATTTTTCTCTTGTTGTAAGTTATCTTTCTTAGTTAATTGTTTACTTTTTCTCGCTTATATGTAACTTTTTCAATAAAAGGGTGGAGAAAGAGACATGTAACATAGACTCGTGATTTGAAACCTAGATAATTATATCATAAACTAAACATTTACGGCAACCCAATTATCAACAACTACCAATACTATTCAAATTGGCCGAACATAGGTTGAAATTTTTACCAAATTTATGAGATTGTTTGAATAAGCAATGTAGGAAAAATTTAAGTTGAATATATACAATTGCTGTGGGATATGAAACATGGTGAGCTCGAGTAAGTTAATTATCATCGAGTGCTTTACGCCAAAGATACTCCTCACAGCTCACGTTGTTTTCTTGATTTCCAAATCACCATTATTCATCAATAATCAATATAACAAAATTTTAGGCATAGGAAGATTTGATAGTAGTTAAAAGATTTGAAATTTCAACTCAGCTTCTTTGACTTGAAAAAGTTCCAGCTGTGCCTGTCATATATTCCTAAATTTATTATTTGATGGTGGATGTATCTTAATCTGACAAGGTACATGTCTGCCTAGTATTTGATTTCTAGAACCTAGGAAAATTTGAGCATTGGTTGTACTTAAAAATCAGTCTTGATAAGTAGGTTATTTTTGGATCTGGATCTCCTGTAGATTTTATGGTACAAATCAGAGTCATGGGACGAAGTTGTTATATAATTCACTTATATTATATTTTTCATCTTATTTTTTTATAATTTTTATTATTTTATATTATATATAAAGTTATGTAACACATGATATAAGTTTCTGCGTACATGTCAATCTCACAAAATTCTTTAAAAAAAATTATATTTATACTACTCATTTGAGAAATTACGTGCCTGTTTGCTTTTGCGTCATGCATATCAAGACTTAGATTAATATAAAGTCAACAATATTTACTTTTCTGTCAATTTCATATTTTAGACATGGATTTGCTGGAAAATGTGAATAGTTAACATTGATTTAAACACGTACTGCAATTATGTAACAAAAAAAGGTACAAGCTTCACAAAGCCCATAAGTATATTGAGTACACAATGTTAGTTTTGGTTGTTGATATAGTGGACAAAAAGCCCACTCTTCTAAACTTCACAAAGTCTAACAAAAAAATACCTTACTTCCATACGTATTTAATACATAACTTGGATTTTCCCTCACACAACAACGAACAAATTTTCTCTTTATCACAAATGAGTAAAATTACAGGAACAAGATTTTGTTGGTTAGAATTTTTATTATGGCTCCTGATGTAATTTCTTTTTAACAAAAATGGGTTAAATATTACCTGATATATATTTTGTCTGTAAGTCTATTTTATTATGTTAGTCCATTTTATTATATGATGTTCTATTTTGGGTTTGGAAATCAGTATATAAGTATATTAAATTATTGATTCAAGTTTAATAAATAAGTGTGTCTAGTTTTTTTATGCAGGATTTAATTGATTTAATATCTATGATGGATGGATATTAAGTTGTAATTTCAAAAATTGAAAGGATAGCTAGACTCTTATAGGTTTATGACCATCATTTTTGCTCCATTCAAGAGATAGTGGTGATAGAGGGGAATTCAGATGGAAAAGTTGTTTTTGACATATACAAGTGAATACATGACCAACATTGTTATAATATATTTACTAAAAGGATGTCTACAAGAGGTAAGTGATTTATAATAATTGATAAAACATTGATATGGTGTTCTAAGTTCTAGTGTTGGTCTAATATATAAGACCGACCTAATGGGGCTTGATGGATATAGACCTATATCACTTGTAGGTTCTCTATATAAGATCCTTGCAAAACTCTTGTCAAATAGGTTGAAGTTTTGCCTGATGTCATTGATAATTCCCAAAGTGCATTTTTTAGTGGAGCCAACCTACTACATAGTGTACTATGTGCAAACGAGATAATTGATGATGTGAAAAGGAAGAAAAAACAATGTTTGGTGTTTAAAGTGGACTTTGAGAAGGCATATGATTCGGTAAATTGGGATTTTTTGCTATATATGCTAAATCGATTAGGATTCTGTGAGAAATGGAGAGGCTGGATCCAAGAATGTCTTACCTCAGCAGAAGTTTCAGTTTTGGTTAACGGAAGCCCCACTTCTGAGTTCCGTACTCAAAGGGGTATTAGGCAAGGTGACCCTCTAGCACCGTTCTTGTTTGTCGTGGTTGCTGAGGGTCTTGCTGGGCCAATGAGGAGTGCAATGTCAAAGGGGCTATTTTTAGGATATAGGGTCGGCCAGCATAGAGTTCTTGTTAATCTCCTTCAGTACGCGGATGATACCATATTCTTTGGGGAGCCGTCTATGGAGAATGTTCTTACTATCAAGTGTATACTAAGGTGCTATGAACTTATCTCTGGTCTTAAAGTTAACTTCCACAAAAGCAATTTCAGGATTTTAGGGTCAAGCGAAATACAAGTACTGAGATTTGCAGTAGTGCTTAATTGTAAAATCCTCCATTTCCCATTCCGTTATTTAGGAATCCCTATTGGGGACAATCCAAGAAAGTCGACCATGTGGAGACCTATTTTGGATAAAATCATAAACAAGCTTGCGCCTTGGAAAGATAAGCTCATATCTATGGCTGGAAGGGTATGCATTATTAATTTTGTGCTAACTGCGCTCCCTCTGTATTTCATCCCATTTTTCAAGATGCCAAAAAAGGTGGTAAACAATATTATTAAGATCCAGCGGGCCTACTTATGGGGAGGGGAAGAGGATTCTAGGAAGGTAGCTTGGGTAAGTTGGGACAAGATTTGTCGCCCAAAACAGAATGGTGGGTTGGGTATCAAGAATATAAAACTATTCAACGAGTCCCTATTAGGAAAATGGAGGTGGAACCTATTCCATCAACAGGGGAAATTGTGGGCTAATATTCTGAAATCAAAATATGGTGGATGGGAAATCCTTGGAGGGGCTGAGGATGGACATAATGAATCCATTTGGTGGAGAGATCTCAAAAAGATATGTGGAGGTGGGGCTGAATCTAGCTGGTTTGCTAGATCCTTGCGATGGAGACTCGGTAAAGGGGAGAAGATTAGATTCTAGCATGACAAGTGGCTAGGGGATGAATCTCTGGTTGAATCACACCCGAGGTTGTTCTTAATCTCTAATCAAAAGTAGAATGTCATAAGCACTATGGGAAGGTGGGTTGGGGATAATTGGTATTGGGATTTTCAATGGAGAAGGAACATGTTTGAATGGGAGAGAGCGGAATGGCTAGAAGTAGAAAGTTGTATCCAAAACATAGGCTTGAGAATGAGAAACTTAGATTGTTAGGAGTGGATAGTGGGGGATGATAAAATTTACACGGTCAAATCAGCGTACGAGGTCTTACACTACTAGAAGTATGGGTCTGAACAAAACTTTTTGATGACCTCGGTTTGGAAGCTAAATATCCCTCCTAAGGGGGCTATAGTAGTATGGCAAATTTTCATGAATAGCCTCGCAACATGTGATAATCTACTTCAGAGGAACATCATACTGCTAGAAGTGTAGTGTATCTACAAATTCTGCAATGAAGAAACAGAGTCTACGTCCCATGTATTGTTTACTTGTAAAGTCTCAGACTGGCTATGGAAGAAGTTCTATAACTGGGCTTTTGTCTCAACAATGATCCTAACTCTTCTGACTCAACATTTTGGACAACTTCCTTATTCTAACCTATCTGCAGTTGTATCAAAGAGGTGGAGAGTTGTTTGGTGTGCTATTGTGTGGCTGCTTTGGGGAAAGAGAAATAATTGTAGATTTAAAAGTCAAACTTGTGATATCCAACAGTTGTATGTGGAGGCGCAACGTACGCTTTGGTCTTGGTTACGTATGGAGAAGAATTTTAAGTATACTTATATGCAATGGGTTGTTAACTCGGGTGCATGCATTAGTAACTAAAGTGCTAGAAAAATGGATTGAAGAAGCAATGGTCGGATGCTGAAAATATGGGGAAATTAGGTGAAGCTCTAGTGATGTGGTTGAGTCTCTTTCATATATATGAGGTGTAAGTATAAGGCTGTTACCTATTTTATCAATCTCCCCATAGTTGTAAAGGGATTGAGAATTGGGGCCAGAGGAGGGTACTTTTTGTTCTAGGGATGGTACATATATTAGCAATTCGATGAGAAATAAAGGATAAATGGGTGTTGATGTCAAAGCGAACTTGCTATAATAGCTGTCGATGTTGAATGGCATTGCTACTAATTGGTATTGATACTATCATGTGCTCTCTTGAATTGGTGACTTACAAATTATGTAGTACTCTAAGGGATAGATCTAGATTGTACTAGCTCTTAAAGATTGTTATTTATGATCTTAGTATTAATGCATAAATACTATGTAACGCTCTACTCTATAGGTTGAGTTATACATTGTTGTAAATGGGTTGATACCCCTAGTATCAGTTATAATATAATTCTTTTGCTGTCCAAAAAAAAATTATTTTATCATGTTGTATCACATCAGATTATACTAGATTTAGAATCCTAATTTTTTATTTATCAATTTCTTGATTTGAAATTGAAGTTTGGGGATTTATGATGTTACAATTTGATTATGATAAGGAATGTATAGTTTTGTCTTTTGTGAATGCAATAGCTAGCAAAT